AAAAAAAAAACGACAGTGGTACCCCTTACGTTTTTTTTTTTGGGCGAAAATGAAGTTTCTCCAATCTTCTCAAAACTCTGGATTCTGATAGAGGGCCATGAGACTTAAACCTGAGTGCAAAATGGAGGCTCTAGCCCCTCCAGAGCTGAGATATCGAAACTCAAAATTTCGACCCGAAAAAAAAAACGACATTGGTACCCCTTACGTTTTTTTTTTTTGGGCGAAAAATAAGTGTCCTCCAATCTTCTCAAAACTCTGGATTCTGATAGAGGGCCATGAGACTTAAACCTGAGTGCAAAAATGGAGGCTCTAGACCCTTCCAGAGCTGAGATATCGAAACTCAAAATTTCGACCCGAAAAAAAACGACAGTGGTACCCCTTACGTTTTTTTTTTTTGGGCGAAAAATGAAGTATCTCCAATCTTCTCAAAAACTCTGGATTCTGATAGAGGGCCATGAGACTTAAACCTGAGTGCAAAAATGGAGGCTCTAGACCCTTCCAGAGCTGAGATATCGAAACTCAAAATTTCGCCCACAAAAAAAAAACGACAGTGGTACCCCTTACGTTTTTTTTTTGGGGCGAAAAATGAAGTTTCTCCAATCTTCAAAACTCTGGATTCTGATAGAGGGCCATGAGACTTAAACCTGAGTGCAAAAATGGAGGGCTCTAGCCCCTCCAGAGCTGAGATATCAAAACTCAAAATTTCGACCCGAAAAAAAAACGACAGTGGTACCCCTTACGTTTTTTTTTTTTGGGCAAAAAATGAAGTGTCTCAATCTTCTCAAAACTCTGGATTCTGATAGAGGGCCATGAGACTTAAACCTGAGTGCAAAAATGGAGGCTCTAGACCCTTCCAGAGCTGAGATATCAAAACTCAAAATTTCGACCCGAAAAAAAAAAACGACAGTGGTACCCCTTACGTTTTTTTTTTTTGGGCGAAAAATGAAGTTTCTCCAATCTTCTCAAAACTCTGGATTCTGATAGAGGGCCATGAGACTTAAACCTGAGTGCAAAAATGGAGGCTTAGCCCCTTCCAGAGCTGAGATATCGAAACTCAAAATTTCGACCCGAAAAAAAAAACGACAGTGGTACCCCTTACGTTTTTTTTTTTGGGGGCGAAAAATTAAGTTTCTCCAATCTTCTCAAAACTCTGGATTCTGATAGAGGGCCATGAGACTTAAACCTGAGTGCAAAAATGGAGGCTCTAGCCCCTCCCAGAGCTGAGATATCGAATCTCAAAATTTCGCCCCAAAAAAAAAACGACAGTGGTACCCCTTACGTTTTTTTTTTTGGGCGAAAAATGAAGTGTCTCCAATCTTCTCAAAACTCTGGATTCTGATAGAGGGCCATGAGACTTAAACCTGAGTGCAAAAATGGAGGCTCTAGCCCCTCCCAGAGCTGAGATATCGAATCTCAAAATTTCGACCCGAAAAAAAAACGACAGTGGTACCCCTTACGTTTTTTTTTTTTGGGCGAAAAATGAAGTGTCTCCAATCTTCTCAAAACTCTGGATTCTGATAGAGGGCCATGAGACTTAAACCTGAGTGCAAAAATGGAGGCTCTAGCCCCTCCCAGAGCTGAGATATCGAATCTCAAAATTTCGACCCGAAAAAAAAACGACAGTGGTACCCCTTACGTTTTTTTTTTTGGGCGAAAAATGAAGTGTCTCCAATCTTCTCAAAACTCTGGATTCTGATAGAGGGCCATGAGACTTAAACCTGAGTGCAAAAATGGAGGCTCTAGACCCTTCCAGAGCTGAGATATCAAAACTCAAAATTTCAACCCGAAAAAAAAAACGACAGTGGTACCCCTTACGTTTTTTTTTTTTGGGCGAAAAATGAAGTGTCTCCAATCTTCTCAAAACTCTGGATTCTGATAGAGGGCCATGAGACTTAAACCTGAGTGCAAAAATGGAGGCTCTAGCCCCTTCCAGAGCTGAGATATCGAATCTCAAAATTTCGCCCCAAAAAAAAACGACAGTGGTACCCCTTACGTTTTTTTTTTTGGGGCGAAAAATGAAGTTTCTCCAATCTTCTCAAAACTCTGGATTCTGATAGAGGGCCATGAGACTTAAACCTGAGTGCAAAAATGGAGGCTCTAGCCCCTCCCAGAGCTGAGATATCGAATCTCAAAATTTCGACCCGAAAAAAAAACGACAGTGGTACCCCTTACGTTTTTTTTTTTTTGGGCGAAAAATGAAGTGTCTCCAATCTTCTCAAAACTCTGGATTCTGATAGAGGGCCATGAGACTTAAACCTGAGTGCAAAAATGGAGGCTCTAGCCCCTCCAGAGCTGAGATATCGAATCTCAAAATTTCGACCCGAAAAAAAAACGACAGTGGTACCCCTTACGTTTTTTTTTTTTGGGCGAAAAATGAAGTGTCTCCAATCTTCTCAAAACTCTGGATTCTGATAGAGGGCCATGAGACTTAAACCTGAGTGCAAAAATGGAGGCTCTAGCCCCTCCCAGAGCTGAGATATCGAATCTCAAAATTTCGACCCGAAAAAAAAACGACAGTGGTACCCCTTACGTTTTTTTTTTTTGGGCGAAAAATGAAGTGTCTCCAATCTTCTCAAAACTCTGGATTCTGATAGAGGGCCATGAGACTTAAACCTGAGTGCAAAAATGGAGGCTCTAGACCCTTCCAGAGCTGAGATATCGAATCTCAAAATTTCGACCCGAAAAAAAAACGACAGTGGTACCCCTTACGTTTTTTTTTTTTTGGCGAAAAATGAAGTGTCTCCAATCTTCTCAAAACTCTGGATTCTGATAGAGGGCCATGAGACTTAAACCTGAGTGCAAAAATGGAGGCTCTAGCCCCTTCCAGAGCTGAGATATCGAATCTCAAAATTTCGACCCGAAAAAAAAACGACAGTGGTACCCCTTACGTTTTTTTTTTTTTGGGCGAAAAATGAAGTGTCTCCAATCTTCTCAAAACTCTGGATTCTGATAGAGGGCCATGAGACTTAAACCTGAGTGCAAAAATGGAGGCTCTAGCCCCTCCCAGAGCTGAGATATCGAATCTCAAAATTTCGACCCGAAAAAAAAACGACAGTGGTACCCCTTACGTTTTTTTTTTTTTGGGCGAAAAATGAAGTGTCTCCAATCTTCTCAAAACTCTGGATTCTGATAGAGGGCCATGAGACTTAAACCTGAGTGCAAAAATGGAGGCTCTAGCCCCTCCCAGAGCTGAGATATCGAATCTCAAAATTTCGACCCGAAAAAAAAACGACAGTGGTACCCCTTACGTTTTTTTTTTTGGGCGAAAAATGAAGTGTCTCCAATCTTCTCAAAACTCTGGATTCTGATAGAGGGCCATGAGACTTAAACCTGAGTGCAAAAATGGAGGCTCTAGCCCCTTCCAGAGCTGAGATATCGAATCTCAAAATTTCGACCCGAAAAAAAAAAACGACAGTGGTACCCCTTACGTTTTTTTTTTTGGGGCGAAAAATGAAGTGTCTCCAATCTTCTCAAAACTCTGGATTCTGATAGAGGGCCATGAGACTTAAACCTGAGTGCAAAAATGGAGGCTCTAGCCCCTTCCAGAGCTGAGATATCGAAACTCAAAATTTCGACCCGAAAAAAAAACGACAGTGGTACCCCTTACGTTTTTTTTTTGGGGCGAAAAATGAAGTTTCTCCAATCTTCTCAAAACTCTGGATTCTGATAGAGGGCCATGAGACTTAAACCTGAGTGCAAAAATGGAGGCTCTAGCCCCTCCCAGAGCTGAGATATCGAATCTCAAAATTTCGACCCGAAAAAAAAAAACGACAGTGGTACCCCTTACGTTTTTTTTTTTGGGCGAAAAATGAAGTGTCTCCAATCTTCTCAAAACTCTGGATTCTGATAGAGGGCCATGAGACTTAAACCTGAGTGCAAAAATGGAGGCTCTAGCCCCTTCCAGAGCTGAGATATCGAAACTCAAAATTTCGACCCGAAAAAAAAAACGACAGTGGTACCCCTTACGTTTTTTTTTTTTGGGCGAAAAATGAAGTTTCTCCAATCTTCTCAAAACTCTGGATTCTGATAGAGGGCCATGAGACTTAAACCTGAGTGCAAAAATGGAGGCTCTAGACCCTTCCAGAGCTGAGATATTGCGATCAGACGTAGCATTTATGTATGTGTGTATATATTTATGTATGTGTTTATGTGTGTGTGTACTGTGTAGATCAGCTGCCTCACATTGTCTTCTGCATTTAATTTGAATCCAGTCATATACGTATCTAAGGATTCAAATAAAATGTTTAACACATTATTTTACCGTGTCTTTTCTATAACTTTAGTAATGTAAATGATGCGTAAATGCACTGTATATTACATATTTTGAAATTGAATTCACCTCATGTTTGTTGAAGTTTGTTATGTTCATGTTCTGTACTGTATAAAGCCTGTAGAAATGAAAAATGACCTTTGAACTCATGCATAGAGTGCACTAATGATCAATACTGTAAATAAATATACTTTGAAGATGAGCATAATTTACATTAAATCAGTATTAACTATGACATCCTTCACTTCAGAAATGAATATGACGGTGTCTTTATGATAAACACATTTATTCTTGATTCACCGCAGAGAGGAATATAATATTCAGAAACTGAATTATGAGATTGTTCCGGTCAAACACTGACACCTGCTGATGACTGATGGAACACACACACACTGATTACGCTTGTCATATTAAACTCTTCAAACACAATCCTGTTTCTGATTAAAAAACTGAATTTCAGTCATTTATTAATTTTTTGCCCAGTGGATATGAATGTAAGAGCTGTATGTTTCAAAAATACATTTTTTGTGTGAGTTTTGCGATACATTTATGTATTTTGTTTTGCACAGTATCAAACATCAGTTATGATGTTGCTGATATAATGAGCTCAAAGAGACTAAATGTGGTTTATGATTCGAGTTTCCTTTTGTGAAAATGTTTTTGCTGGGGTTTCTGTATTTATGTATTTACACACAATTCTTTTTTATTGTCCATTTTTTTCAAAGAGCAGCTCAAGGAAGTTCATAATGCACACATTATTTGATTTGTGTAAATTCAAAGTACTTTTAGCAAGTAGATATGATATGAGAATATTCAGATATTTTTGTTAAATCTCAAAGTAAATAAGTAAATAATAATTACTTAAAAAATGCTATGTGATTTTGTGAAAACACGTCAGTTTCAAGTGCTCAAAAATAATAAAACACACACACACACGTCCTTGTGATGATCTCACATCCCACCTCAAATCTTGCAAAACATTTTGCACATTTTGTGTAGCGTGTGTTTTAGTGTAACTGCATCGCCATCTACAGGATCACCTGAGAATCAGATTATTTGCTCTGAAATGTGAGAAATCAAGACAGATTATATTACACAAACATATTACAATAGCATATTGTAATTTTGATGTTTCACATATGATGATGAAGAGTCATAAATAATCATGAAAGGCCAAATAATCATATATGATCAAAAAGCATTTACAATCAGTGAAAAAAATGTCAATATTGGGCAAAAAAATTAATTTTATAATTATATGTAGGCAAATATAACATTGTCTGTGCAATATTACACAATCATTTTTTCAATATATTTAACAGTCACACAAAAAAATGTCCTGAAAATCCATCGTTAGCTTTAGTGCGAATTAAATGAAACTGTGTAAGAACAAGACAAACCAGTCCTTCATCAACGTTCAATCTATATTTACAAAGACCACAGCTGATATTAAGGGCTGCAGAGGTTAAAACTAAAGAACATTCATTAAACACCCGATCGCTCCAACATCCGACGAGGCACAGGAAGTTCACCAGGGGTCACGGTCTTCCTCAGCGTTCAGACGTTCCCTGCACACCGCTGAGGAAGAACATCATGCACACGCAGCAAAGAGGACCGCCATCCATACTAAAGAGGTACTGTACGATTAATAAATGCACGGATGCATTATCCAGTTCCTGTAGTGAGTTCATTATCAGTGAAATGCTCTGAGAAGGCATCTAGAGAAGCTTATGAAGAGTGTCGAGTGGTGTGTGTGAGGCTCACGGGCCGGATGTCCTGGGTTTGAAGAGTCCCGTCTTCCGGAGGTGTCTCACGATGAACGGCACACACACCAGTGTGGCGCTGATGCGCACCGGGGCGAAGAGCTTGTGTACGGCGTACGCCAGAACAAACGTGCTCGTGCCGGCGGCCATCTTGGACTGAACCACCGACTCACTGAAGCCCAGCTTACACAGCAGAGACGCCACGTCCAGCCCGCTGAGAACACACACACACACACACATATATATTACTTTCTTACAAGCGGGATTCAATACTTTGATCAGTGTGTGAAGAGTTTGGAGAAGGTGATGTGAGGATGAGTCTATGTGGGATAAATGCATTTAACAACAATTCTTTCCACACTCAGACAAAAAGCAATACAAAAATGTTATGAATCTACTAGCCAATTTGCACAATTTACAAGAAGAAATACTTGTAAAAAACTACAAATACTGATGCAAAATACTAGAAGAATAGCAAAAAAATACTGACACAAAATACTCAAAGTACACTGATATAAAATACCAAAAACTAGACACAAAATACTCCAAAAAATGCACTGATACAAAATAGAAACTTGATAAAAAAAAAAAATATTAATACAAAATAACAAAAAAAAACTGATACAATAAACCAAAAAAATTCTGATACAAAATACAAGAAAATACTGTTAAAAAAAATACTGACACAATACAAAAATACCCCCAAAATACTGACACAAATACTGAAATATATTTTTTAAAAATACTGATAAAAAAAACTAAATACTGTGAGAAAAAATATTGATGCAAAATACAAAGAAACTATAAAAATAACAAAACATACTAATTAAAAAATACTGACACGAAATACTAAAAATACTGACACAAAATACTGACACAAAATTCTAAAAATACTGACACTAAATTCTTAACATACTGACACAAAATACTGACACTAAATTCTTAACATACTGACACAAAACACTAAAAATACTGACACAAAATTCTAAAAATACTGACACAAAATTCTAAAAATACCGACACAAAATTCTAAAAATACTGACACAAAACACTAAAAATACTGACACAAAATACAAAAAATACTGACACAAAATACTAAAAATACTGACACAAAACACTAAAAATACTGACACAAAATTCTAAAAATACTGACACAAAATACAAAAAATACTGACACAAAACACTAAAAATACGGACACAAAATACGGACACTAAATTCTTAACATACTGACACAAAACAATAAAAATACTGACACAAAACACTAAAAATACTGACACAAAACACTAAAAATACTGACACAAAACTCTAAAAATACTAACACAAAACAATAAAAATACTGACACAAAACACTAAAAATACTGACACAAAACACTAAAAATACTGACACAAAATACTGACACAAAATTCTAAAAATACTGACACAAAATATAAAAATACTGACACAAAACACTAAAAATACTGACACAAAACACTAAAAATACTGACACAAAATACTAAAAATACTGACACAAAATACTGACACAAAATTCTAAAAATACTGACACAAAATACTAAAAATACTGACACAAAACACTAAAAATACTGACACAAAATACTGACACAAAATTCTAAAAACACCGACACAAAATACTAAAAATACTGACACAAATAACTAAAAATACTGACACAAAATACTGACACAAAATTCTAAAAATACTGACACAAAATACTAAAAATACTGACACAAAATACTGACACAAAATTCTAAAAATACTGACACAAAACACTAAAAATACTGACACAAAATACAAAAAATACTGACACAAAATTCTAAAAATACTGACACAAAATACTAAAAATACTGACACAAAATACTAAAAATACTGACACAAAATTCTAAAAATACTGACACAAAATACTAAAAATACTGACACAAAATACTAAAGATACTGACAAAATACTAAAAATACTGACACAAAATACTAAAAATACTGACACTAAATTCTTAACATACTGAGACAAAATAATAAAGATACTGACACAAAATACTAAAAATACTGACAAAGTTCTAAAAATACTGACACAAAATACTGACACAAAATACTAAAAATACTGACACAAAATTTTAAAAATACTGACACTAAATTCTTAACATACTGACACAAAATACTAAAATACTGACACAAAATACTAAAAATACTGGCACTAAATTCTAAAAATACTTGCACCAAATTCTTAACATACTGACACAAAACAATAAAAATACTGACACAAAATACTAAAAATACTGACACAAAATTCTAAAAATACTGACACAAAATTCTAAAAATACTGACACAAAATACTGACACAAAATTCTAAAAATACTGACACAAAATTCTAAAAATACTGACACAAAATACTAACACAATTCTAAAAATACTGACACAAAATTAATAATGTCTTTACAACAGAATTTGAATATGATGAATTTGAATATATGATGAAGTTTGCATCACTGATTCTATTCTATTCCTGTTCATAACTGTGAAGCTGCTTTGAAATAATCGTTATTAAACAAAGCGCTGTAGAAATAAAGGTCATTCACTCACACAGACACACACATGACTGTAGTTTGGTGGCTTTATGTTAAAGGCCTGAATCTCACCTGGATACGGAGAGGTAGAATATTCCCAGAGACATGAGGGAGATCCCGATGTGGAAGGAGACGCCGACGGCCCCGTACTCCTTAAACACCTTCCTGAGCTGCTGTGCCCGACTGAGCTTCCCGTCTGACCCTTGACCTTCAGCACGGGACACGGGCGACACCTGATCCTGACGGAAGAGTTCAACAGGAGAGATTTAACAGATCTGACCGCGGAAAACCACAAGCAGACAGTCCCAACACTAATGCAAAATACTGAAGAATATCACAAAATACTGACACACAACACTCAAAAATACTGATTCAATACAAAAAAGAACATAATGATACAAAATACTAAAAATATACAGTACTGATACAACAAAAAAACTAATACTGGTACAAAATACTAAAAAATATCACAAAATACTGACACAAAACACTCAAAAATACTGATTCAATACAAAAATATTTATATATAATGATACAAAATACTAAAAATATACAGTTAAAAAAACAGTAAACATATATGCTAAAAAATACTGATAAAAAAACTAATACTGTTACAAAATACTAAAAAACCCTAAAACTAGTACAAAATACTGAAAAAAAAAATCACAAAATACTGGGACTAAATACTCAAAAATACTGATTTATAATACAAAAAAAATATAAATGATACAAAATATTCAAAATATAAAGTTAAAAAACACTAAAAATATATATACACCACAAAATACTGATATAAAAGCAATACTGGTACAAAATACGAAAAACACCAAAAAAATACAGACAAAAAAAACTAATACTGGTAAACAATACTCAAAAATACTGATACAGAATTGTAATTTGTCTCATATCATGTATGATGAAGTTCGCATCACTGATCCTCTTCTGTTCATGACTGTGACGCTGCTTTGAAACAATCGTTATTAGACAAAGCGCTGCATGAATTCACACAGACACACACCTGACTGTAGTTTAGGGAAATACTAATGGATTCAAAGTGAAAGCTGCCAAAAGGCCTCGTGGGAGGGGCTTAGCACCAGTCCTCAGCCAATCAGAGCACAGAAGCTCTCGAGTGACTGCTTCAGGAGCCAATCACTGAAGTTCTATTGAGAAGGCCGTAAGCGAGGATTCAGAAATAAACATCGGATGGAACGCAAGTAAGATCTAATTTTACGTCCAATAGTCCGGGAGACTTGATGTGTGTGAGATATAAAACACACACACACTGACGAGGTTCAGAATACGAACATCAACACACTGAAAACGCCAATCAAAACTGGTTTGTTTTCCGCATGTGACACCAGAGCCGCAAATCTGCCCTCATTCAACCCCAACATTCACACACAATACAGGCTTTTCATTTCCATAGAGACAGCAGCCGTGCGTGTGTGTGTGTGTGTGTGTGTGTGTGTGTAGGGCAACATGCCAACGTTCAGACACAATGGTGTGTTGTGTGAGATAAGATTGTTTGACGACAAAACAGACGCACAACATAATCTACACACATTCATCTGGAGGAGCTGAGTGAGATGTTACACACATATGTATATGTGTGTGTGTGTGTGTGTGTGTGTGTGTGGTTTGCAACCCAGTCTTGTTATTTCCCAGCAATGAATGCTGCATTAGAATTGATAAAAATAGTTTATAAAGCTAAAGCCAGAGGGAGGGAACAGATGACGTGTGAAGGTCGTGTGTGACTCTACAAACACACACACACACACTAATCCAACAAAACCTGTGGACACACGCCAGACGCTCCGCTGACCCCAGCAAATAATGAGAACAAATAACAGTCAAGGCCTGAGAGATCAGAGTGAGAGAGACATACAGTCACAAACACACACACACAAACACACACAGAGAGAGAGAGAGAGAGACTTTTAAATTATTTGTCCCAACCTCAACATTTTTGAGAATAATGCACAATATTTACTTGATGAAAAAGTAGACTGCATTACATACTCTCTCTCTCTCTCTCTCTCGGACACACACACACACACACACACACACACAAACAAGAAAATCAACTTCATCTGGAATGACTATCCTTCTTTACATTCCAGTGAAAGTGAAAGATCATCATCCGGTTCTGCAGAGCATCTGAAACATGATGACACACTCGGATCCACACATGACAGATAAACACATGAAAGCCATAATAATCATACTCTGCGATTCTCTGATGTTACAGAGACATGCACGATAGGCTACAGAACACACACACACACACACACACACACACTAGCATCAGTGTAACGTTACCATAGTAAACTTCGAGGGACAGTTTCTGTATGAAGACAGAGGAAGTAAAAACGACAACAAAGAGCATAAACTCTTATGACAAGTGTGTAACCACGTGACAGAACAACACACACACTGCAAAACACACCGTTCAATAGTTTACACACTCAGAACGGAACAAAGAGCATATGAACAGCAACAACACAAGCGTTCTGCACACAATACCCACTACAACGCCGAATCCACCTGTACACATTAATGCACGATAAATAAATAAATTATATGCAACAGCCGGTTTCGTAACTCTGACGTACCGTTTGAATATCAGCGGCGCGTTCATCTCGCGTTTTCTCGGGCGTCGTGGTCGATCGTCTCGTTTGCATCACCATGACAGCAGCCGAAGAACGGACCGTTAAGAACGACTCGAGTTCTTTGGGTGATTTCAAGATGTCGCTGCTGTATTCTCGTCGCGGCGTCGCGTTCAAAACAAACGCCGCCATTCGCGCGCGCGCAACAACTAAACCCGGCGACGTTCCGAACGGACTCTCACGTGAACATGGACGGAATAATAAAACATTGGCTTTGCTTGCGTTTAATCGCCAGCATCGCATCGCACGGACGCCGCTCGCGTGAAGATGAAGCGTTCCGGAGAAGTTCAACCGCTGCAGGAACAAAGACGCTCCCGAAACGTTCCTCCGACAGTGAAACATCGTTCGACATGCACGGGAATAACGCTAAATATGATCCTAACGTGCGGACTGTGACGCCTCAGCTGATCGCGGATCAGTCCGTGAAGACCCGCCTTCCTCCGACAATAACACGAGCTGCTCAAAACAACAATTATTGGGGAATAATGCACTTCTAAACGAACGGAACGGAATCTAGATGTTTTGTTTACAGTGAGATATTGTCGTGTGGAAAGTGTCCTTTTGCTCCAGTGAAAGGTTGTAAAACTATCCCTGTCTCGACATGCTAATCATAGGCATGAGCAAAGTTCATAGAGCAATGATATCATCATTCATAATTCATAATCCACCGTGCATTCCTCCTTTTTTTAAATAAGACATTCACACACAGATCACATCGACTGGTGATTGAAGGGATTTGGAAGTTGGAAAAGAGCCATATGGAAGACAAACTGATGATGAATGTTTACATGCAAACACTGATAACATCATTCATACGTGCTGGAACACGTCCGCAGTCGCGAAGAAGTTCATTTCAGTCCATTTAAGAGGGTTTAAATAGTTTAAATAGACCAGTCTTGCGGAAAAAATAGTCAAGTAAGTATGAATAAGCAGTTTGTCAGAGTGACAGTGATTGATTGACGTGTGTCGTCATAGAGGCGGGACTGAAGCGGCTGATCGGCGTTGCGACAAACAAACTTATGTTTCACTGTGAAAAGCTTTGACGTTTATTCCCAGATTCAGTGTGAACTGTTTTAAATGAGCTTCATTAATTCCTTCAAACGAACAAAATCCCCCAAATGTCCCAGGCCTACTGGTCACGTGTCCGGCAAACATGACCTTTTTATGATTAGGCCGAAGTAAAGTTTATTTATAAAGCACTTTTCACAGATAGAATCACAAAGTGCAACCACAAAATAAAACAGTATACAATCAGTAAAAAGTTACAACATTTAAAGAGCCCAAAATAAAACCCAGTGTCTTAATAACAGTGTCTTAAGATGCCTTTTAAAATAATCGACCGAGTCGGCCACACGGAGGAACAAAGGCAAGGCGTTCCACAGAACGCCTTGCCATTAGCTATAATTAATATAATTATAAAAAATATAATTATCGGACTATATTTTAGTTCAATCATTTGTTTTAGCATTTTTAGGGGATTTTATGATACTAAATTATATTTATCCATTATTTGTATCATTTAGTTGATCAAAAATACAGTAAAATTATTATAATGTAAATCCGCTGTTTTCTATGTGAACATATTATATAGTAAAATGTAATTTATTCCTGTGATCAAAGTCACATGACCCTTCAGAAATCACTCTAATATGATGATCTGATTATCAAGAACATTTATGATTATTATCAGTGTTGAACACAGTTTTTGGAACCTGATACATTTTATTTTTCAGGATTCTTTGATGAAAAGCATTTATTTGTAATAGAATCTATAGCATATTTTATTTCTTTGACAATAATAATCACATTTAAAATGCTTCTTTTATCAACGAGTCACTATTGTTCTAAATGTCTTGCACAAGCAAACCTCAACCATGAGGCAATATTGCAACAGATTGAAACTCATAATCACATCACACACTTGCACAATCAGACTGATGTTATTAAAAGAACATTTTTTTTATAATTTAGGACACATGTTTTAACTTTTATTCATTTTCAGGATATGAATTCTTGATATCAGTAATTGTATTTTCACTAGTGAAATGTCACCATAGGCTGCCATTCAAAACCAATTGTTGATATCAAGAATTGATTTCTTACTAGTTGAAATACCAATTTCACATATCAGAAATACAATTATTACTAGTAAAAAACTTTATTTTTGATATCAAGAATTGAACTGTTACAGTTGAAATGTCTCATGAAATCCACAATTGAATTGCTATAGTAACAATGACCAATAATTCAATTTTTACTAGTGACAATGTTAATTTCTGATATCATGAATGTGATTGTTACGAGTAAGAAAGCCATTTTAGATATCTGAAATAATATTGATATCAGAAATACATTTCCAGATATCAAAAATGACCATTTTTACTAGTACCAATTGAATTGTTGATATCAAGAAGAATAGACATTTCAACAATGACAATTTAATTATTGATATCAAAAATGATATTTCTAGTAGTAATCAAAAATCAATTCTTGATATCAACAATTTTTGGTGAGATTTCACTAGTGAAAATACAAGTACAGATATCAGCAATTCAATTGTTCCTGGAAATGAATAAAAGCTGAAACGGTTTGCCGTACACACGAATATTTGAACTACCTCCTCATGAACTAATGGAGAATGAAGTTTATTCACTAATATTGTGATTTGATTGATTTACTTTATTAATCCCCAGGGGGGAAATTTATATGTCACAGCAGCACATAAATACAATATTGTGATATTAATATTTCCACTGATGCTTTAGTGACGAGAGCTGGAGAAACATCACGCGGGAGTGTGTGAGGCGTTTCTCCAACTCAGCGTCTGCTTGGGTGGAGCTGTGGAGATTATTACACTATGACACACACACCCTCCTCACACACACACACCCTCCTCACACACACACACACTGCTGCTTTAGGAGATAAAGAGGGGGTTTAATAAAGACCACTCAGTGTCTGATGTTGAAACACACATAGAAACTCAAAGAGAGCGAGTGTGTGTGTGTGTGTGTGTGTTCTGCTGTAGTTTGTCTGTAAACAGTGATTATGTGAGTGACTCTGTGAGTGTTATCTGTCACTTAGCTGAACCAGGGTCAAGTCATCCTCCTCTGACCTTTGACCTCTGACCTCAAAAACGCATGTTCACCCCGTCAATCCCTGGTCAATCCGCCGTTTCTGAAACACACACACACACACACACCAGCCCGTCTGACAAACACGTCCTGTCACTTAAATCACTTCCTCTTGTGGACTTCGGCAGATCTTGATCATGTTTGCGTGAGCACTTTGAGCTTCTGCGCTGTGATTGGCTGATCATACACTGAAAAAAATGATTTTTTGGTAAGGTAAATACTACTGAAAAAAAACCAATGTAATTTACAAGAAAAAGTTAATTCAGGCAAGAATAGTTCAAGCGAGTAGAAATGAAAGCATAAATATGAACTCAATAAAATAAAGTAAAAATTACTCAACTTTTCTGATACTGGACTTCCCATCATGCACTGGACCTTGAATAATTAATGAGGCTCATTTTTCACTGGTTTCCAGCTGTATTTACACTGGTTTATCATTGCTTTTGTTGTCAGGATTAGTAACCTGCCATTTTGTGACATTTTGAGGAAATTTTCTGCTCATAATGACATTCAAACACAAAAACGATCCATCGAATGTTACCGTCATTGTGTATTGTCTACCAAGTATTGAGGTCTTTGCATTCACATCATGTTTGACATGATGGAGTATAAATTACTTAGATAGGCTAAATAAAACACTTACTATAAATGACTGGTATAATTCAATAAAATTGATTGAGTGAAATGGAAAGCAAAGGAAATTACAACTAATCGATAATATTTAAACTTTTACTAGCCAAGTTGCTTATTTTCTTTGTTACTTTCACTTAATTAAAGTAAAGTTTACTTAATTCCATATTCCAAGTAAATTTTAACTTAAGATTTCTAATTAAAGCTACTGATAAATGTGTTTAGGTTTTTACTTGGCAAATCTTTGTAAATTTACTAGCATTTTCTGAGTGGAAAATGTTGCCTAGCTTTTTTCAAGTAAATCCTACTCCACATTTTTTTTCAGTGTAGGTTTCAGATATTAAAGTAAAGAAAGATACACACACACCATTACAATATTCATCATCATATACCATTTTCATTGTTTTATCTTATACGCCTATTTCACAACTCGACACTTTACAATAAGGTTCATTAGTTTCAACTTTCACTGTGTTGTGTGTGTGACTGAGTTTCACCAGTCTCTCTGTGTGTGTGTGTGTGTGTGTGTGTGTGTTCAGGATCACAGAAGAGGAATAAAGATAGAAACACACTGACTCAATATTTACAGTCAGCACGTGTTCTCCTCCTTCACTGCTGGATTTACTGCTGACTCACTTCCCTCAACATCCCTGCACACACACACACACACACACACACACACACACACACACACACACACACACACACACACACACACACTCTCACTCACACACACACTGATGACAGAAGAACCAGAGGGATTTAGAAACTGAACAAAATATACAATTTATTGCAAATATGTTAATACAGTGATCAGTGTATTCCAGTAATTATAAAATCAGTAGTTGTGATGCTCTTTCCTTCATCTTCATCATCATCATCATATTCCTCTGAGTTCAGACAGTAGAAATGAGCAGAACTCTATTTCAGTTTGATAATAACACACACACACACCGCTCCGCCTCAGTGATCAGCGCTTTACAGTAAACGACGGTTATTTACACTCTTTCCCGCCTCGGACGCGAGAGCGACGTGAAGGGGGAGGGGCTACAGGAGCGGCGCTGGAATCTCATTGGCCGATTCTGCCGTCAATCATCCGGAAGACTTTGGCACCGTGAGAATGAACTGAGAACATGCGGAACGGATCATAACAGATCAATAATCACCTCACGCGCTCCGGACCCTTCATAGGGAGCATCACGAGCAGGACACGAAGGGGTCATCAACTCTTTCCTTCAAATTTGACATCTAACGCTCACAGACACGTTTACATTTCACATTATTTTCATGAAAAGTTACCATCTGATATATTTTGTTATTTGCACTGAAAGTGTTTGTGCAGTCAGTTTCACTGCAGCGCTTGGGTTAAACGGTCATTTAAATAATGTCAAAATACAACAAAAATAAAATAAAAAAATGTACTGGGCAACGATTAATCGCATCCAAAATAAAAGCTTGCGTTTACATAATATGTGTGTGTGCTGCGTATAATTATTTATATATTTATATGTATATATTTAAGAAAAATGTTTATTTATATTTAATATAAATTATGTATAAATATATATACATGCAAATATTTCTTAAATATATACATCATGCATATGTGTGTTTTATATACACAAAATAATTATATACACAGTACAGAGTACACACATTTTTTTTTTATAAATCGTTGCCCGGCACTATTAAATTCATAACAAATAAGCGAAATCTCATGAAAACAATCTGATATATTTTGTTATTTGAATTGAAAGTGTTTGTAATGTGATTTTAGTGTGAAATGTGAGTTGGACATCGAATACTTCATCTGGTCTTTATAACACTCTCATAGAAAAATACTAAATACTGAACGCATCTGTCACTCATCTCTCTTATCATACAATAAATAATCTTATAGAACAGTGGCTCTATGCACATATACAAATAAATACTGTACAGGAGAGCGGTGCTTTACTTCTGGAGCAATGAATGAGGCTGGAAGTGAAAAAGAGAAGCATAGTTCACTCATCTAACCTTGGGGCCTGAATGACATCATTTTCTTCCTGTTTCAGAAGGTCAGGGTTCAAAAACAGGTCATTAGAAACTTCCAGGTTCGGAATGGGAGTGAAAAAAAAAGTCTGGGGATGAATCAGGCCCTCCGTCAGCCAATCAGACGCTTGGGATCCTGTGATTGACAGGTGAGGGTCGAGGAGTGGGAGGGGCTACAGGAGTGGCACTGGATCCTCATTGGCTGTTTCTGCAAGACTCATGATCAACTGGACAGACACCAAATTAACATGCAAGAACTGATCAGAAATAAATAATTACCCATGATCCCTGTGCAGGATCACGCTCACCTCTGTGTTTTACAGAAACGCATCTCAAAATCAGAGCAAATCTCTGGGGATGAATCAGGCCTCGGTCGGCCAATCAGACGCAAGGGATCCTGTGATTGGCAGGTGAGTGTTGAGGAGTGGGAGGGGCTACAAGAGTGGCACTAGAACCTTATTGGCTGTTTCTGCTGTCAGTTTCACGATCAACCGGACAGACACCAAATTAACATGCCAGAACTGATGATATGAAATAAATAATTACCCATAAACCCTCCCACTGTTTGAGAATGAAAACTAAATCGGATGAATCAGGCCTCCATCGGCCAATCACACGCTTGGGATCATGCGATTGGCCGGATCTACGAGACGCAGCAGCAGCCGTGACTCTTCGGATCCTCGTCTTCGATTGGCTGCTTGAATCTCAGGAGGGGCGGGTCTCCGCTGGCCGGCGTGAAGTAAACCGCGCTGCCATTGGACGAGACCTGTGGCATGCGCGGGTCCTCGGGATTGGTGGATCCGTTGCCCATGTGACCGTTGAGGACGGGGTGTGGGAGGAGCTTAGCGGCTGAGCGCTGCTTTTTGAGTTCGGACAGCGTTTGCGCGCGCTCTTTAGGCTTGGACTCCTCAGTGGAGGTCGTGGGGCCGTGGGGGTCAGGGGTCACGGGGTCGCCGTTAGAAGCGGGCAGCGCTGGAGCGGAAACGCAACCGTTCTGTCGTCCGCCGTCCTTCAGGATCCCCGGCGCGCGCGAGCCGTCATCAGCCTGAGTTACACACACACACACAAGAAGACAAACACAAGTTCACTCCTTCCTCTATACAGCACTGGCTTGAAATATCTCACTTTGCATGTAATGAGTCAATATAATAAATTAGTTTCAGATTTTAAGTTGAATTACTGAAATAAATGAACTTTTGCAGCATATTCTCATTATTGGAGCTTCGCCTGTATTAGTCTAAATGGGATATACCCAAAAAGTGAAAGTGAGGAGCATTATGGGTACAAGTCGGGTACCGGCCTATCTTACATATTTCAAGGGTGCTGAGTCCAATAAAACTGGTACCCAAGCGAAATTCAGAGTTTTTTACCATCTAATTTGCATATCAAAATGGCCGACAAATCTTGCACAGTCGTTGGACCATTTTCTCCTAAATTTTTTGTAAGTAGGCAATCAAGATGAGGAAATACAGTTTTTAGATCGAAAGTCAAGGGTCAGAGAAAAGATATATTGGAGGCTCACCGGCTTTTTTATGTATATATATATATGCAAAATACCAACTTTTAAGGCGAAACACTAGGTGACTAGGGTATAAATTTTTAAATAATAGATATCACCATGAAACCTCCTTAATTGATTACTTACACAACGATATAAAAAATGTATTATAAGTTTTTGAAATTTGTATGTTTAATTATGCAAATTAGGCATTATCTCATTAAATATGAGCAATTTTGCATATTTTCGGTGGATAGATCTAAACATATGATAAAGCAAGGTGCAAAATTTGTTTTACACACAAGATGAAAAAAAAAGTTAAATTACCTAGGAAATCAAAATATACTGTCCATACCCTTAAAAAATCAATTTTCGCCATATTTTTTTAATATTAAAATGTCACATAAATCAGGCCAGTAATGATCTATTAACAAATCCCTCTGAAAATATCTTCAGGATACATAAGTGTATAACTGGAAAGTTTGGTGTACATAGGTGCTACTGTACATAGGCTGAGATATGTGTATATGAACTCATTTCTATATATTTATATATTTTAGTTTTTTTGAACGGCAGTGTCTGCTCACCGCTCGGCTGTTCTCCTGATCCGACTCTCGCTCGCGCTCCTCTTCTCGTCCTCCTCTCCACACGATGGCTTCGGTCTGATACTCCTTCCGGCAGAGATTGTGTCTGTCCGACAGACTCGCCCTCCGGACCACTTTCCTGCGAACAGCAGACGTTACATCCACCAGTGAGAGCTGTGCTGATTGGCTCCCTCAGAGCAAACGCACATCACTCATGTGACGACGCTCGCATCACTGATTCTCTTTATGAGTGCAACAGTTTTATGCACTACTGAAACCTGATTTTCCTTGCATGCACATTAAGGACAATATATTTAATTAAATTAAAATTATCTCAAAAGTGAATGTCATTTCATTTCAATATAAGATGCGATGCTTGATTGGTTGATATTGCGCTCGCGGCGCCCTCTTGTGGACACAGGAGACCATACTGCACTTCTGTCCTGTAATGTTAAGCACTGAACAGCTTCCACACCTGAAGTGGATCAAAACCGTTCATCAAAGTTAAACATTAATTTTGAACAGTACCCGTTCTTGTCTCAGGACAACTTTGATGCACTGGTTTTGATCCACTTCAAATGTTGACTCGAATTTTGCTAGTATTTCAGAAAGAAATTGTAATTGATGTTTTCAGGCATCCTGACAGCGCTGGAGTGAAGGAGTCAAGCTGGATCTGGTGTTGTGATGAGCTGCAGTTCTGCGAGTGTCCAGCAGGGGGACACATATACACACACACACACATAGTTCTTTATTTGTGTCATTTTGTAAAGTGACCTTGAGTTTGCAGAACCCTAACGTATTATTCATTATTAGTGTTAGCATTAGCATTAGCATTACCCTCGGCTGCCGGCGCTGCTGGTTCGACGACA